ATCGCACAGCATTCCTTTTCAAATCACATGCGATTCTTTGCAGTGCAATTTGAGCCATTTATTTTGTATGGCTCAAATTGCACTGCACCCGCAGGAAAGGTGCAATTTTTTTTTTCTCCCCCTCACTGGAATTGGATAACGTGGGTGGAATTGATGACATTTTGTTATTTCAGTGATTCTATGAAGAGAGACGTACAATGCGTATTTAAAGTTAGTGATGTAGCACTGTTGGTAATAGTGTGTGAAACAACCTATATAAATAATACCACTGTGTGTGAGATAAAAACAAACTTAAAGTACAGATAAGATTATACTGTTAGCAAATGTTAATAATGTCCAAAACTTATATAAAAAAATCTTCATGCAATAAACAGTCAATAAGTCTGTTATACCATGAAGAAGTAAAGTGAAGTGATGTAAAGCGTAGGGTGTGAGCGGAGGCAGACGTGGACCAGAGGTGACGCACGAGGAAGTGCATCCTGGTATTCTGCGTGATTTACAGTTTATTATAACAAGATATTTTAAGTGTGAATGTATTTTTAGGTTTAATAAATTGCTGAACATTTTATACTACACCATGGGATGCCTCTCTTTTTTTTCTTTCTGTAATATGAGCAAGGCAATCATGGCCACATGAATAATAGGAGTCTTAAAGGGACCATACCCGTTTTGTCCAAAATACAGTCAGGTCCATAAATATTGGGACATCGACACAATTCTAACATTTTTGGCTCTATACACCACCACAATGGATTTGAAATGAAACGAACAAGATGTGCTTTAACTGCAGACTGTCAGCTTTAATTTGAGGGTATTTACATCCAAATCAGGTGAACAGTGCAGGAATTACAACAGTTTGCATATGTGCCTCCCACTTGTTAAGGGACCAAAAGTAATGGGACACTTGGCTTCTCAGCTGTTCCATGTCCAGGTGTGTGTTATTCCCTCATTATCCCAATTACAATGAGCAGATAAAAGGTCCAGAGTTAATTTTAAGTGTGCTATTTGCATTTGGAATCTGTTGCTGTCGACTCTCAAGATGAGATCCAAGGAGCTGTCACTATCAGTGAAGCAAGCCATGATTAGGCTGAAAAAACAAAACAAACCCATCAGAGAAATCTCAAAAACATTAGGCGTGGCCAAAACAACTGTTTGGAACATTCTTAAAAAGACGGAACGCATTGGTGAGCTCAGCAACACCAAAAGACCTGGAAGACCACGGAAAACAACTGTGGTGGATGACCGAAGAATTCTTTCCCTGGTGAAGAAAACCCCCTTCACAACAGTTGGCCAGATCAAGAACACTCTCCAGGAGGTAGGTGTATGTGTGTCAAAGTCAACAATCAAGAGAAGACTTCACCAGAGTGAATACAGAGGGTTCACCACAAGATGTAAACCATTGGTGAGCCTCAAAAACAGGAAGGCCAGATTAGAGTTTGCCAAACGACATCTAAAAAACCTTCACAGTTCTGAAACAACATCCTATGGACAGATGAGACCAAGATCAACTTGTACCAGAGTGATGGGAAGAAAAGAATATGGAGAAGGAAAGGAACTGCTCATGATCCTAAGCATACCACCTCATCAGTGAAGCATGGTGGTGGTAGTGTCATGGCGTGGGCATGTATGGCTGCCAATGGAACTGGTTTTCTTGTATTTATTGATGATGTGACTGCTGACAAAAGCAGCAGGATGAATTCTGAAGTGTTTCGGGCAATATTTGCTCATATTCAGCCAAATGCTTCAGAACTCATTGGACGCCGCTTCACAGTGCAGATGGACAATGACCCAAAGCATACTGCAAAAGCAACCAAGAGTTTTTTAGGGGAAAGAAGTGGAATGTTATGCAATGGCCAAGTCAATCACCTGACCTGAATCCGATTGAGCATGCATTTCACTTGCTGAAGACAAAACTGAAGGGAAAATGTCCCAAGAACAAGCAGGCACTGAAGAAAGTTGCAGTAGAGGCCTCGTAGAGCATCACCAGGGATGAAACCCAGCGTCTGGTGATGTCTATGCGTTCCAGAGTTCAGGCTGTAATTGACTGCAAAGGATTTGCAACCAAGTATTAAAAAGTGAAAGTTTGATTTATGATTCTTATTCTGTCCCATTACTTTTGGTCCCTTAACAAGTGGGAGGCACATATGCAAACTGTTGTCGCCTGATTTGGATGTAAATACCCTCAAATTAAAGCTGACAGTCTGCAGTTAAAGCACATCTTGTTTGTTTCATTTCAAATCCATTGTGGTGGTGTATAGAGCCAAAAATGTTAGAATTGTGTCAATGTCCCAATATTTATGGACTTGACTGTATTGAGAAACCTTGGTGGACATCATATATACACCGTATTATAGTCTATTGGAGCTGAAAGTTCTGTGAGCTCAGTGGTGGCATGTTTGTTTGAAGCATATGAGTACATTAAGAGATTCAGTATCAGTGTGGGATATTATTATCATGGAAGATTGAATGAATCATCACAAATTGAGCATGTTCAAAATTTAATGGACGTATTGACTGTTGTTTATTGCATGAAATTTTTTATATACGTTTTGGCCTTTATTAACATTTGTTAACCGTTTAATCACATCTGTATTCTAATTTTGTTTGTGTTTCACACACATGGTATTATTTATACAGGTTGTTTCACATAATAACTAATATCAACAGCTCTAAACCACTAATTTTGAGTACTTGTTGAGTTATGGGAACACAATTAGGTGTCAGCAGCAGCTGGTGTATTTATTTTACTCACCTTGTCCACTTATAATTTAGTCACAGGTAGCGCAGGAGTCATAACCACTTTGGATAAAATGTGTATCGTAGTTGATGATATTTTGGGGGACTTCTGAGGCCTTCAGTTTCAAGTCCTAGACATTTAAGGAGGCAGTCGGTTTCTGGTGTGGAAACCCAACAAAAGTTTGCACAATACATACATGTTAGCGTAGTATTGCTTCTCTAGTTGCTTTATTTGACTAAAAAAAACCCTGTGGGGGAAGAGTAATATTATTATATGTCTGACCCCAAATACTGCTGAGTTTTGTGCCCTCTTCTCTGACAAGCTGTGGCAAGTTCAGAAGGATGTGTCACTATGGCATGCATATGCAGCAAATCTCTAGATAAACATAAGAATTCAGTTAATGAATAAATACTGTCCACAAAGATAAACCTGTATATCAGCAACCTATAAATGTGTTAAGCCAATTGTAAGCAATTAGTAACTTATGGTATTCCTCATTTAATAATGACATTTCACAGCTTTGTTTTGCTTGGATTTTCCACTGCTTTAAGTCTGCTTATTCAGATGTGTTAAGCATTGACAGCCAATATCTGTGAGCGCTTTGGAAAACCATGTGTGAAAAGTTTGTGTCAACACTAGGAAGGCAACCATAGCATTGGGTGATATATACTACAGCAAAGCTTAGGGGCCAAACAGTTCCAGGCAACAAGATATTTAACTAAATCCAGCTGCTTTTTTTCTGCTAAACAGCCAACAACGCCAGTTTACAAAGGTAAGCCTCCAAGTCTTGATCCTTCATGACTTTTTTTTTTCTCCTGACACAAATGTAAACAGTGGCTGGGGAACAAGCAGCATAGGACTTCTAGAAGTGGAAGGGGGATCAGGGTGAGTGTGAATGAGTCACATGCCACCACAGCGATTACTACATGAGGAGAACCAGATACAGCTTTCTGGTGAAAGCACACTTTTTTTTTTTTTAAGTACCTGATGTAATGTAGCTGATTCAGCAAATTGCTCCCTGAGGATTCATCAAAAACTATTCATGTCATTAACCCTTCCTCTCCATATGTCTCTCATTAGGCAACTTAATTTAATTATATTGGTACTGACTCTTCTATGGTGCAAAGAAAGTAAACAATAACAGAGGCTTTGGGTGAAACTTGACAGAGGAACAAAAACTAACAAGTACGTGTGGGTGGATACTGTGGAATGAACCTTGTGGCTCCTGGCTTTCTGTTGTGCTATACAGGCTAAGATCCTGAGCAGCTCAAACTGCATTCCTATATATAAATAAAACTCTGCTCAATCAAATAACCCTACAAATTAGATAAAACCATGTGACTACTTAAAACTCATCATATAAACACACTGCATCCACATAAAGTTAATAAATACATTGACTAAAAAAACTTTAACTTCATTCAAATAGCACAAAAATTAGTGTCAAAAAACAATCCACAGTGATATAATAGATGTTGTGATACTATGGTTCCTTAGCATGTGTATGTTGCCCAAGGTTCCCAACTAGGGAGGTTGAGGAGCTTCAGAATGCTTATTTAATTAACTGTTTTAATTTTTCTAAGAGTTTGGTAAAATTTGGTTTGGGACCTGGAGCCTGGAGATTTCACAGTGATCTGGGTGGGAGGAGATCTCCAAACCTGGGACCAGGATTTAGGAACAGCCAGGACACTGTGCAGGGGAGATCTGGGCTTTTTGTAGAGAAAGGACCAGGGATCTGTGCTCCACCCTCCAGAGGAGTCCATGTGGGTACAAGAGTGCAGCTACAAGTGTGCATGTCGGCACGGTGTAGTCTGACCGAGAAGACAGTGGACTGGAGAAGCAGAAATGCTGTGAAAGAGGAAGTGCTAGCCGAGGTACAGTGTTTGTATGTGAATACAGGGAGACTGTTTTATATGGGCAAGAGGACTGAGACATAAAGCCTAAGAAGCGGTGCTGCTAAAGAGGACCAGAAGGCTGAATCTTTCATTTGTATGGATGGTGAATACCCCTGCGTGGGCAACCTTATATTTTGTTGAACTTTTTCCTTACTCTTTAAGAAAATCGGGCCAACAAGCGCTTTAAAGGATAATTTCTGGTGTGGACTCTACTTACTGGCTGGCTGGTAAGCGCTACCAGGGGTGTGGAAATTTTTGAAAAAACTACTTGTCCAGGGACTAAATCGGTGCACCAAAACCGTATTTAAATTGGAGGTGATTTTAGGAATGTCGGGGACTTTTAAAAACAAAATGGGCTCTATGGCGAGGTATCCTCCCTGGCGGTATTCCCGAGTGTAGCTCGGGGTAAAGTTTCAGTACCACAAGCGGTAACCCCGACCTACACTCGGGCTTACTATGCGGCGCTGCTCCACGATCCCTCGATCACTTACCTTGTCCTGCTCTCCCACGATGTCCCTCCTGCAGTGTCCCCGGCAATGTAATCCGGCGGATGCCGGCATCTGTCATCTGGGTTCGTCCCCTGCGAGCGTCGGGACGTACGGGGGACGCAACGGCGGGAAATTTGAAAATGACAAAAAGTGACATTCACTAAAATCACATAGTATAACATTACTGTATCAAACCATTTCACATACGTTTTGTCCCTAATGCTTTGTCCTGTGCCCAGCCTGCATTTTGCTTGTTCTTTCTGCCTGGAAACTTAGAAAAGTCCATGGCGTCCAAAAAGCGTCCCTTTAGGTCAAAAGTGGTTTTAGACCAGCTAGAGAACAGCGATAGTAAATCAGAACCACTTGCAGAATTGAGTGATAATGATTTGTGGGGAAATTCGTCATCAGACACTGAAAATGATTTTGCGACTTTGCTCAGTGATGTGCGAACTTGGCGCTATATTTCAAATTTCAGTGTTTTTGGTTTGATTATATTATTGAATTAAATTTATTATTATATTATTATTTTTTATGATTATTTATTAAATTATAATTTATGATTTCGTGTTTTATCCTACCCGGGATGTTTACTAGACTCTTGTTCGGACAGATTTCAGTGAGTTATTCCTAAAAATTACAGGCCTACAATAAAAAAAATACATATTTCCATGCAAAAAAAGTACCGCTTTGAGCACAGAAATATGGACAAAATCAGACTGCTAGGGAGGTTAAATGTTTAAATTCTTTAACATTCCACTGTTTATCTCTTCCTCCCCTCCCTGCCTGGCTCTAGCACCGCACCCGGGGACTAGCAGGGAGGAGAGAGACCTTGCAGTGTAATGTGCACCGATTGGGCTTGTCAGGGAAGGGGAGTGTCAGGGAACAAGAAGATCGCTGCAGCACATGAATCTGCACAGGCGCAGGATCCCAACAAGGCATACAGGAAGGCGGGCACTAGGACCCAGGCGCGCCTGTCACCAATGACGGAACTGGCAGGCACTAGGACCCAGGCGTGCCTGTCGGCGCTGGGCGGGCTATTCAAGGAGCAGCTCAATGATGATTCACTGGTGACTGGTCTTCAGCTTCCCCCTGTGTCCTGCTGTTCCTGTGTGATTCCTTTGGTGCTGACCCGGCTTGTTCCTGACCCGACTGATTGCTCTTCTGCTCCTGGTTCCTGACTTCAGCTCTGCTCCTGACTTTGGCTTCTCCTACTGATTCTGTACCTTGCTGCCCTACTGTTGATGACCTTGGCTTCCTTTGACCCTGCTCCTGTCCTGTGTCCTGGCTACCTACCTGCTCTGCTGCACATCAGGCATTATCCAGAACCTGCTCTATCTGCTATTACAATACTCAAATCAGAGGATACACTGCCTTCTCAGGCCATCATCTGCAAGAGCCACAAGCAGCCACCTCAGGCGCTCTTGTCCCCCTGGTCCCTAGACTCCCTCTGTTCCAACCTCAGCGGGGTCAGGGCTAGTGACACAAGTGAGGCCGACCTCGTCAATTCAGTCTCCTATCAGGTACGTGACCGTACCAGTCAGCCATAATGGAGTGTGAAAGGGAGGCCTCACAACTGGGGGACATTGGCCAAGCAGTAACTACCTTGTTCAACGTAATGCATGAGTTACAGAAAGACTTTGAACACTTGGAGAGCAAACTGCGAACCGACTCTAATGTCCTCTTAGACACAGACCTCAATACTACCCTTGATGCGGTCACGCAAACAGAGACCAGTATAACCTTTGAAACTTCTGCTCTGCCGGAACCCCGGGTGCATACGCCCGAGTTCTTTACAGAGGATCACGGGAAGTTCAGGACTTTTTGTAACTCCTGTGAGTTATATTTTTCCCTGCTCCCCAGGACCTTCTTGGCACCTAACACTAAGGTGGGACTCATTATCACACTCCTCAGAAATGAACCCCAGTCCTGGGCCTACCACCTATGTGAGTTGCATGACCCGGCCTTAGCTTCTGTGGACTCCTTCTTTACAGCGATGGCACAAATCTATGATGATCCTTTCCGGTGCCAAACTGCTGAAGTCATGCTCAGTAAGCTACAACAAGGCCAGAGACCTGTGGAAGACTGTGCCACTGATTTCCGTATCTGGTGCCCTGATACCCAGTGGAACGAGTCTGGTCTCCGCCACCAGTTCCGTCTTGGTCTTTCCGAAAATCTGAAGGATGAGCTGGCTCGAGTGGCGGTGCCGACCAGCTTGGAGAGCCTGATAGACCTGGCGATTCAGATTGACCGCCGAAATTCGGGAAAGGCAGAACAAGAGGTCCAATGGGAAGATTTTGATATGCTCTAAATTAGGACCTCCTACAAATGTGGCCTCAACAGCATTACCCACCAACTCCACTAGGAGAAGCTTCTGGAGGCTGCAGTTATCCGCAGCGGAACGCCTTCACCAACAGGAGTCCAACCTCTGCCTCTACTGCGGTGATGCAGGTCATTTTGTGGCCACCTGCCCGGCTAAATCCCACCGATCCTCTCCCAACTGTTTCTACATGATGCACCCTCAAGGGGCAAGTCGGGCACATCTCTCTTTTCATCTGCACCTACAACTGGCCGAAAGGACAATCAGGGTCCCAGCCATTATAGACTCAGGTGCCTGTAGCTGCTTTATTGGATGCACAATTCGCTATGCAAAACCAGATTCCACTCCGTAACAAAGCACAGAGACTTGCAGTTCACCTGGCTCCCAAAGGGACTACTGAGGCAACTCCTCTTCTCGGCATTCACTCTGACCCTGAAACCATGAAACTTGTTCCTGCAGCATACCATAAATATCTGGATGTCTTCAATAAGAAAAGTGCCAACTGCCTTCCTCCCCATCGCTCTTACGATTGTCCTATTGAACTCCTGCCCGGTGCTGAAATTCCTTTCGGCAGAATCTATCCCCTATCCGAGGCTGAATTACAGGTCCTCTGGGAATATATCAATGAGAGCTTGGAAAAAGGCTTTATTTGGCCTTCTACATCACCAGCAGGAGCCAGTATCTTTTTTGTGGAGAAGAAAGACCATACTCTCAGACCCTGTATCGATTACCGAGACTTAAGCAAGATAACGGTAAAGAATCGTTACCCCCTTCCGTTGATCCCCAAACTACTTCAAAGGTTGTGAGGAGCATGCTTCTTCACAAAACTGGACCTCAGGGGCGCTTTCAATCTGGTGAGAATTCGGGAGGGTGACGAGTGGAAGACGGCTTTTCAAACTAGGTTCGGGCACTTTGAATATCTTGTGATGCCCTTTGGCCTCTGTAATGCCCCGGCAACTTTCCAACACCTGGTGAATGATATCTTTCGAGAATACCTGTATCTCTTCCTTATTGTCTATCTGGATGACATTCTAGTTTTTTCCAGTACCATAGAAAGCCACCGGGAGCATGTAAAGAAGACTCTGGATAGATTAAGCCAGCATCGTTTGTATGCAAAAAACGAGAAATGCGATTTTGAGAGGCAATCCATCCAGTTCCTTGGGCTAGTGATCTCTTCTGAGGGCATCTCTATGGACCCCCAAAAGGTGTCTGCCATCTTAGAATGGCCCATCCCAGGAGACAGGAAAGCAGTGCAGCGCTTTATTGGTTTTGCTAACTTTTATAGAAAATTTTTCAAGAATTTCTCTGGAATTATCGCACCAGTAACACTGCTTACCAGGCAGCATATTCCCTTTAAATGGACTCCCGAACAGCCTTCAAGCAATTAAAGACTATGTTCACATCCACACCTATTCTGAAGCATCCGGACCCTGCTCTCGATTTTGTCCTTGAAGTTCACGCTTCGGAGAACGCAGTTGGAGCCATATTATCCCAAAGACAGGGAATCAAATCCCTTCTGCACCCTGTTGCATTTTTCTCTTGAAAATTGAGTGTTTCCGAAAGGAACTATGACATGAGAGACAGAGAATTACTCGCCATTAAGGCAGCATTGGAAGAATGGCGCTATTTACTGGAAGGTGAAGTTCATCCCATTCTCATCTTCACAGACCATAAAAATCTTGAGTGCCTGAAAACGGCGAAACGCCTCAGGCCACGACAAGCTAGATGCGCACTATTTTTCACTATTACACCCATAAAGGCTGTAAAAGCAGTCATTTCTCCTTCTCTTTGGCTGCATTCTTGCAGCCATTGAGAAATACTATGTGAGCTGTGATTGGTCACAACTTGTCACATGGTACAAGGCTGTTGTGAATAACCTTGTACCATGTGACCTCTGTGATCATTCACAGATTTCACACGTGGTAAGCAATGATGTCAGAATAGACATCTTGCTTACTACTATTCATGTGATCACTGATTGGCCAGTACAGCGATCGGTCACAGCAGGCACTGGATCACGGTGCCGCGTGCTCCCAGGGAGCGCACACAGTTCAAAATGGCGGGTGCCGTTTATGAACGGCAACCCGCTCCTGCACTTCTCCCGTCTGGCCATTTATATACATGGGCCGGATGGGAAGTGGTTAATAGTGTATGGTGAATTTCAAACACAGCAGACATATGATTATTTTTGGATAATTTCAACGCACGTTTGGGCACATGTGTTTGTCACTTATGACACAAGGATTTGCATGTTTTTGTATGTATATGTGGTATTTATTTGAGTATATCTGTTCACTACGCACAATGATATATGTTTATGGTATACAACTACCTATAACACTAATATATTAGAGCAGTATTTGTGCGCTGCATATGCACTTTATTTATCTTTTTATATTATCTTTTGTTTATATTATTATATCTATTTAGATTTTTTTATAGTCTACTGTAACGGAACCGGACCCTGACTGCTCTAGGGTATTTCCTTTAGACTCCCGCTTCCCTGTCCGAACACCGACCACAGACACCACTGCTGACCATACAAGACGAGACAGCACCAGACTCTTCTTAAGACAGGAAGTCAACTGCTTTATTTTAAACACAAACACAAGATATACACACAGGGCGGGGAAATACAACCAGGAACAGAAAACACATCATCAGGCCCTCCCAGAAGGGGGAAGGGCTGCAGGAAACACCCCCCACCAAACCAAGACACAGAACAATGGGATGCAGCACATGGCAGTGAACAATGAACAATGGAACAACCACATGGCAGTGAACAATGGACAACCCCCCACATCCATATTAGAACATTTCACCCTGTATCCCCTAACAGGCACAGGGTGCCTTAGACATAAGATGATACAGGGATCTCCCCACCCCCAAAAG